ATGAATGGAATGATTTGTTCTAATGGTGTTTGTAAATAGGATGTCAAGTCCGCATCTTGTACAGCAATTAACCACTAAGAAGAATGTATGCAGTGTGTTAATTATTGAAACTGTCCTACCGATTTGATTTGAAACTGTCTCATTGCTATTTGTTTATCAATAAAATTATGGCAAAAAAAAGACATACTTCCTGAGATGCTTACTGAGCCATCTCCCCGGCCTCCAAGATTACTCTTACATATAAGTTCAAGAGCTACAAAAGGTAGCTTTTGCTCCAGACAATTCATTTGATACTTTGGTAAAAACTGCTTAAGTGTCCTATAATTGGAACTGGGAGAAAAGCAAGGAGAGAAAGCAAAGAGATCAAAATGGCTGCCTTTGTTGCAGCCTCAAAACAGACCCTAAGTCTGATTCTCTTGGCTCCAAGATAAGCTCAACGATGATGACGTTCATCAGCTACTGTTGTCAGAAGCAGGCCAGCATAAGAGAGACTGCCACAAGAGGCCCACAAGCTGTGCCCTAACTGCCAAGGCAGTCACTAAAAGTGAGACTGCACTCTGAGGTGGAGGCCCCAGAGTTCAGACTTAGCTTCCCAGATGGTCCAGTAGGACTGAAGGGCCCTGGGCCTGCCTCCTCCCTCAGGCCAGACTGTTATCTCTACTTGCCATCTCCACTCAGGAGGAACCCTGAGTAATCATGACTAAAGGGAAAAAAAAACCAGCCTATTGCTAGATATTGGCACAGGTCTCTTTGTCCTTCTCCAACCCTGATCTTCCTTCCAGTCATTGTACCTCAATACTTTAAAAGACATCTTGCTTTAGCTGTAACTGAGGTAATGCAATATATTCAGGTTGCTAACTAATCATAATTATGCTAATACTAGTTTTTACAAATGTAATATATTGCTGTTCATGTACAAGACTTAAAATGTATTTCATTGGTTTAACCTGACTGAATGCTATGTATTTCATGGTAAGAGTATGTTAGTCTGGTTGATTTCTGATGTAATGTAGGTACTTCATGTTGATAGTAAATACATGTGTGGCCTCTTTGAACTAAAGCTAGAGGGACTTATAGTACACTGTCAAACTCCATGAATAAAGGGATCTAAGAGCTACTAAATTACAATTGCTAGGTCTCAAAAAAGTTTATAAATAGTACCTGTTAGCTTGAATGTTAATGCTTTGATTATATGTGCTCTAATTTCTCAGAAAATTTGTTCTTTCCTAGGAGATACCAAAATCTATGTAATCATAGAGGTAAAATCTAAAACCAAAAAGTTGTATCTTGCTCAGTGAGTCCCAGATGTCTGACACAAGCTGTAGAAGTCAGAAGGGTTTGCAGGAATAAATTTGTCTGAGTTGAGGTGTTTTATAGTAGAAAGGATACAGAATGGAATTACAGATGGAAAATAAGAATGGGGATACTAGCTAGCAGCCTACAGGAAGGTCAGTCAAGAAACGGGAAAAAAGTTATGTTTTCCTGAATCCAGACAGAGAGAAGGGACATTTCAAGGAAAAATGTCCAAAGCTGCTAGAGAAAGAAAAAAGAAAGTGTTTATGATAGAGTCAGAGGAAGTTTCAGATTGAGATGGTCATGAGTCTTCCCTTTCAGCCTGAGGGAATCCATGTTAACTTTCAATATAAGGAGAAATCCTGTTAAACTTTCAATAGATGCTTATACAGATTTTTCAGTAGTTACCCAGCCAGTGGCCGACTTGCAAACTGGAAAATACTCAGTGTTTTCCCTAGGCCCAGCAATTCATGTGCCCCAGTAATAATAGGAAAGGCCAGTTTGTTTGAAACAATACATAATGGCCATGGAAGATTTAAAAAAAGGGATTAAACCTCACATTTAAGAGATCTCTGCTAATGGACCAACAAAAAGTTCTAACTCATCTTTCTCATAATTATCCTGTTGTGATTATTTGACCTTTGCATGTTTAATAGTTTCTTTGTCTTTGTCTTCAGATTCAAAGCTGTAATGAAAATGCCTGGTGTCTATTGAGGGCCTTTTTTTTTTTTTTTTTTTTTTGGCAAAATCATTCATGCACTTTATTTACTCAAGTATTTCACTTGTCTCATTACTGATTTCATTTCTGTTTATCTTATTCTGACTTTCAAAGAATATGTAGAATATAAGGAAATTCTACTTCTTTGACCATTTCACTTGAGACTTTTTTTTTTTAATGTATTTAGCACAGGTTCTACAGAGTCTCACTACACAGATAG